ACTCATACTGATTCCTTCACTTTCCAAGACATTTTGTGCAAACCTTGCCAGAGTGCTTATCATGAATGCAAAAAAAAAAATGGTTCAAATGCTTTTCAAAATTTAAATTTCTGAGTAGAACCAACTGAGGTACTCATTAATCGTGGACAGTCACTCGAAGTGAAAGCATCACGTAAAAATGGCCCTTAAAAGTTCCCTCAGCTTCCCATTCTAATACAAATGAGTGGAGCTGATGGCGACAAATCGAGACTGGAATCAAATCACTGAAATTGGAAAGAAGTGTCTAGTCCTGCACAGTCCATGAAGGAGCCAACTGAATTGGTAATGAAATTCTCTCAGAGGAAGCAGCCAAAAGAAATATATTAAAAAGACAAGAGACAGATGACAACACAGTAGAAACACACCGACAAGAAGCATCGGCCACAAGGGAGACCAACGAGAAGGTATTATGAATGACCAAGTTGGAAAAACATGGGTTTAAACAGGGGTCTTCAAACTGGGCCACTTTAAGACTTGTGGACTTCAACTCCCAGAATTCCTCAGCCAGCGTGGCTGGCTGAGGAATTCTGGGAGCTGAAGTCCACAAGTCTTAAAGTGGCCAAGTGTGGAGACCCCCCGGTTTAAAGCAAGGGGCCAGTCTTATTAAAACAGGGGTCTTCAAACTTGGCCCTTGGATGACTTGCGGACTTCAACTCCCAGAATTCCTCAGCCAGCGTGCCTGGCTGAGGAATTCTGGGAGTTGAAGTCCGCAAGTCACCCATGGGCCAAGTTTGACGACCCCTGTATTAAAACAAATTCCCCAAAGATTTGAAACAAGCTGAAAAGGCATACAGGTAAGTCCTCACCTTTACAACGGTTCATTTAGTGACCATTCAGAGTTACAACGGCACTGGGAAAAAAAAGGATTTATGACCATTGCAGCATTCCCATCGTCAGGGGATGAAAATTTGGATGCTTGGCAACTGGTTCGTGCTTATGACGGCTGCTGTGTCCTCTGGGTCACGTGATCCTCTTTTTGCCACCTTCTGACAAGCGAAGTCGATGGGAAAATCAGATTCACTTAACAATCATGTCAGTCACTTAACAGCTAAAGGGATTCACTTAAACCCGTGGCAAGACAGGCCTTAAAGTGGGACAAAATTCACTTAACAAATATCTCGAAATTTTCGGCTCAGTTGTGTTTGTAAGTTGAGGACTATCTGCACAAGCTTTGCAGTAGACAATTCCACCTCTACAGGAATATTCGTCTACCATTTATCAGCAGACTATGTTCCAATATTTTTCTTTTAAAAAAATTAAATTATACATTCATCCAGTCTGTTTTTTTTTATTCCAATCTATTTTACTGAATTGTTATGAGAATAAAAGAGAGAGAGAAAACGATTTAAGCTTCTTTAAATGACTCTAAAGCAGAAGGAACAGTTACAGTCTCCGATAGCATAATTTAGGTCTTGCTGAATGTAATGGTATTTATTACCATCTTAGTATATATACAGTATACAACAAAAGATTTGTTGTATACTGTATATATACCAACAAACAGCAAACACCCAAAGATCAAATAAAAGTCCCCCCCCCCCAAAATGGCACATAACAATTCTCTCTTGATAAATTAACCTGATGAGACCAACTTCTTAAAGGTATTTAGGGAGTAAATATTAACTGAACAGAAACAGCATTTAAGGAATATTTTACATAATAAATGAAAGATCCGTTTTCAGATACCATTTAAATTCTGACTTAGTACGAAATCACAATGCCTCAGCAGTACTTACTGCTGGATATGCTGTGATATATTATATTGTGATCAGTGGAAATATGCTTCTTTGTGATTATTTAAGTTTCAACAATGATAAAACATATTCTTTACCTACGACGTTGATTGTGAAGATTAAATCACAAGTTAACCAACCGTTTAGATGAGGTTAAAAAATTTTCCCAAGTTATCAAATGAAGGATCTGGATTTTAAGTGGTGCCCTGGATTAGTTCATGAGAAAACCTTCCAAACAGGTATAGTCACATTCAAATATGCACTAGATATGTTATACAGAGCACGAGAGGCTTAAATTCTAAATAAAAAAAACCGTGAATAACCCAAACGAATAAGACAATCTTCCAAATGAACTGAAAATGATGGTCAAATCCAAGGGATTTATTTCAGACTACATTCTGGTCCTTGTACCAGATGAAAATGCGAGAGACAGCCAAAAGAAAAACAGGTTAGCTTTAGAAGCTCAATTAAAAGGATGGGAAATCTGAGCAGTTCCTGGGAAATAACACCCGACTCCTGTTTTAATTCCACATATTCACAACGGAGATGATGGCTGTCTTCCCTTCCACCACCCATCTCAGGAGAAGTTTATTTGGATTTCCCTAGTCACAAAAGTATTAGACAGCTGTTTGTTTGGGATGCAATAAAATCTTCTGCCTCGGACAGGGGGCTGGACTAGAAGCCCTTCCAGCCCTCTTTGTCTATGTCTCCAAGGGACTAGAAAATAAATTGGAATTTTATGTGCGTGAAAAGCTGAAAAAAAAACCCACAACTGCATACTGAGGGGGTCTTCCATATTGGTCAATACTGACCCTGTAAGGCAGTGGTTCTCAACCTTTTTAATGCCGCGACCCCCAACCGGTCGTAAGTCGAGGACTACTCCACCGGTCGTAAGTCGAGGACTATTCAACTGGTGCAGCACCGTTTGCAGAATGGGACTTTTGGCGGGCTCAGCAGGGCAGAGACAGCCTGGATGATTCCTATTGGCTTTTGAAAGCCAATAGGATTAGAGTCTATTCAAGAAAGTCTATTCTATTGGCTTTCAAAAGCCAATAGAATAAAAGGGAGGAGCACAGCTAAGGAAAAGGGGGGAAAAAATGGCAGACTGCATTGTTTGGCGACCCGCGTGAAATGGTCGTTTGACCCCAAATGGGGTCCCGACCCACAGGTTGAGAACCACTGCTGTAAGGGTTCTTAGGACTATCCCGTGAATCAAGAAATGTCTGGGGCTAAAAAGGGGGTTTAGTAAATGTCTGGGGCTCAACAGGTGGCAGGTGGAAGGTCGATGGGACCCAATTCATGTCGGGGGGGGGGTCTCTGAAAAGCTCTAGGGCAGCCCATAGTCCTGAAGGAGAGCTGGCCAGCAGCATGGCAGTGCTGATCCATCAGTGAGAATGTGCTCAAATTGTCATTAATATCCGTCATGCTACGAGTTAAAAGTAGTGCTTATTGTATTATTTCCAAATAATAATTTGGGGAGGGAGGTGAAGAGTTTGCGGAACCCCGGCGTTAAACCAAAGCTGCTCTGAATTGTGGCCCTCCTGCGTGAAGCAGGATGATGGGATGGAGGGGGGTGGCTTTCTTGCAGACGTTTCATTACTCAAACTATGTACTGTCACCAGCGATAGAAATGTCTGAAATGGTATATAGGGTTTCCTGCCTGAGCAGGGGGTTGGACTAGATGACCTCCAAGGTCCCTTCCAACTTTATTATTATTATTACAGAAGGGAGAGGGGTTTGCTCTTGGTTACTATTCAATATAACTCCTTCAAACACTGACGATGTTACCCAGTTGAGTAAGGAAACATCTGCAAGGAAGCCACTGAGCTCAGAAAGCACCATGGGCCCCACAGTCCTCCTCCTCCATTGCACAAACCCCTCTCCCTCCTAGCACTGACGATGTTCCCTAGTTGGGTCATGAAAAGTCTGCAGGAAATCTCCCAAGTTCAGAGAGCACCAAGGACCCCACAACTCTCCTCCTCACCATGTTACCTAGCTGAGTAATGAAATCTTCCAGAAAACCACCAAGCTCAGAGAGCACCAAGGACCCCCACAGTCCTCCTTCCCCTTCTCTTCCACTTCACAAACCCTACTTAGCGGAGTAATGAAACGTCTGCAAGAAAGCCACCAAGCTCAGAGAGCACCAAGGACCCCACTGTCTTCCTCCTTCTCCTCTCCAGAAATCCCATTCTTTTCTAGCACTGATGATGTTACCTAATTGGGTAATGAAATGTCTGCAAAAAAGCACCCCAGACATCACCAACCCAGACATCGTTCTCCCCCTCCTCCTCCTCTTCACAAACCCCTCTCCCTCTAAGCACTGATCATGTTAACTAGATGGGTAAATGAAACGTCTGGGGGAAAAAAACTCAGAGAGCACCTAAGACTCCTTGGTCGTCGTCGTCCTCCTCCTCCTCCTCCTCTTCTTCTTCACAAACCCCTCTCCCTCCCAGCACTGATCATGTTACCTAGATGGGTAATGAAACGTCTGGGGGAAAAAAACTCAGAGAGCACCTAAGACTCCTGGGTCGTCGTCCTCCTCTTTCTCCTCCTCCTCACAAACCCCTCTCCCTCCCAGCACTGATCATGTTACCTAGATAGGTAATGAAACGTCTGGGGGGGGGAACTCAGAGAGCACCTAAGACTACTTGGTCCTCCCTACAAATCCCCTTCCCTCCTAATGACGTTCCCTAGCCGGGTAAGGCAACATCCCCAAGCTGAGAAAGCACCAAGGACCCCACTGTCGTCGTCCTCCTCCTCCTCCTCCTCCTCCTCCTCTCCACAAATCCTCCCGGCACTGATGTTACCTAACTGGATAATGAACCTTCTGCAAAAAAAAAAAAAAGCAACCCAGTTCAGACAACACCTTGATGATCCTCTTCACAAATCCCACTCTCTCCTAGCACTGATCATGTTGCCTAGCTGGGTAAGGAAAGGTCTGGGGGAAAAAAAGGCAACCCAGCTCAGAGAGCACCAAAGACCCCTTGGTCCTCCTCCTCCCTACAAACCCCACTCCCTCCTAACCCTGATGACGTTCCCTAGCCGGGCAATGCAACGTCCGCAAGAAACCCACCCCCCAAACTCGCAAAGCACCAAGGACCCCCCCCCCTCCCTTTTCCACCCTGCAGCTGGCACGGGGGGGGATCGGGGTGTGGCAAGACCCCCTCCCCGGAGCCTCGCCCTCTCTCCCCCCCCTCCCCGAGGGAGGGGCTCCCAGCGCTCACCTACCTATGCCCAGCCCGACCACCAGGCGCCCGCCGAGCAGCGTCTCTTTATCCGGCGCGGCGGCCAGCAGGACGGCGCCGGCGGCGAAGAGCAAGCTGGCCAGCAGGATGCAGGCGCGGCGGCCGGCCCAGCCGTTCAGCGAGCCGCCCAGCAGGGCCGAGAGGGCGGCGGCGCCCACCGTGCCGGAGACCAGCAGCTCTTGCCAGAAGGCGTCGAGGCGCAGCTCCTTCTTGAGCAGCAGCAGCGCCCCGGACACCACGCCGGTGTCGTAGCCGAAGAGGAAGCCGCCCAGCGCCGAGAAGGCCGACACCACGTAGACGAAGCCGGCCGTCTCGTCCTGCTGGAACTGCCGACGGGCGGCCCGCTCCAGCTCAGCGCAGCCGCCGCCGCGTCCTCCGCCGCCACCGCCGGCCGAGGACTGGCTGTTCAGGCTGGAGCAAGACTCGGCGGCGGCGATCAGGCTCCGTTCGCCCAGGCTGGCCGAGCCTTTGCGCCTGGAGGGCGGCGGCGGAGCAGGAGGAGGCGGCGGCGGCCGGCGCCGCTTCTCCCCCATCAGGTTGCTCAGGCTCCGCAGCGTGTATTCCACATTGGCCTTGCGGGACATGGGGCCGCCGCTGCAGCGGCGGCGGCTGCTGCTGCTGCCCTCCGGCCGGGCTGGCCTCCTTGTCCTCCGGCGTGGGTTGCCTGCAACGCACCGGAGGTACCTCTCATGCTCCGGCCACGCTCGGACTGAGGCGAGGAGCGGCGCGGTCCCCACGTCTGTTCACCGCCGCGGGCGCCGCCCTCTCACGCCCCGCGGGGTGGAGCAGGAGGGGGAAAAAAAAAAAAAAGAGACGCCGTCAATGGTGATTGGTCGGAAGGGACGGAGGCGGAGTCGGAGGGGGGGAGGCGACATCGGGAGGGGTTTTTGTCTCCTCCCCCTTTTGCCCCGCCAGTTTGGGAAGGGGGAAAAAAAAAAATTCGATAGCTGATCAGTTGTACTCGGGCTGCGTTTTTGTTTCTTGCCGCGTTGCCTGTTGTTGCTGTGGTAGTGTGGGTTTCATTCTTTCTCGACCGGTGAGAAGGCGGGCTGAGCCGGTGAGAAGGGCGGCGAATAATAAAGGATCGTATTAGGGGTGGAATAATAAGAAAAACCCTTCGTTTTTCGTCTCTCTATGGAGCATGCGGCTGGGCATGCGTGGTGAGCGCTGGTGAAGCTGGTGGGTGGGCCTTGCGTGCCAGTTCTTCCCTTTTTGTGATTGAGAAGCTTTTGTGGAATGGAATAGAATAGAATAGAATAGAATAGAATAGAATAGAATAGAATAGAATAGAATAGAATAGAATAGATATTGGAATATAGAATAGAATAGAATAGAATAGAATAGAATAGAATAGAATAGAATAGAATAGAATAGAATAGAATAGATATTGGAATGTAGAATAGAATAGAATAGAATAGATATTGGAATATAGAATAGAATAGAATAGAATAGAATAGAATAGAATAGAATAGAATAGAATAGAATAGAATAGAATAGAATAGAAGATGTGGAATGGAATGGAAGTGAAGAATGAAGAATAGAATAGAACAGATATTGGAATATGGAATAGAATAGAATAGAATAGAATAGAATAGAATAGAATAGAATAGAATAGAATAGAATAGAATAGATATTGGAATATAGAATAGAATTCTTTATTGGCCAGGTGTGGCTGGTCACACAAGGAATTTGTCTCCAGTGCCAAAGTCTCAATATACATACAAGTAATAGTAATAAATCATGATCATAAACAACATAAAATACATTCATATAAATAACAATTGGAACCTTCCTGCATGTGTATGTTTGTAACACACATACATGTCCACATCTCATAACAGTTACTAAATATTACATTAAATGGTCAGGAGAAGAAAGTTCCTTACACTAATTCCAATTTTTTTTTAACATAAGCAGAAGTTTTGAAATATGATCTGATATGAAAACTCCTATATTTTACTAAATCTGCTGTATGGAATCTTTTTACCTGTCTTAATTTCCTATTACATTAACCAATCTTTGCGCAGTAAAATTCTGCTCTTATCTGTTCCACAGTCAGAAGGGGATTAAAAACGGGCGTGAGCAATAAAAGGGAATCCTTACTCAAACAAATAGTGTTGTGATTGCACCTCATAATATGCCCAGGTTGTTAAGCACGGTTTGTTGAGGAAAAGAAGTCGAATTTGCATACTGTATTAAGTGAAGTTTTGTCTAAACTCGTTACATAGAATGAATCCCTAACAATTGGGTTGCATGATATGCCAAATCATAAATCATGGTTATTAAATCACTTCAACATGATTCATAGAGTCTCTGCACCAAAAACAAACATATATTTCAATGCAACGTGCAAACCCAATCCGTAAGTCTATTTTGAACTAGAGATTCTAAAAGGGAACTGTAACCATATATTTTTTTTCTTTTCTTTTTTTCTAGCCAACATGGAAGCGAATACCGATGGTCCTCAACTTACGACAATTCATTTTAGTGACTGCTCAAAGTTACAACGGCACTGGAAAAAGTGAGTTATGATCATTTTTTCACACTTAGCATCCCCGTGATCACGTGATTTACATTCAGATGCTTGGCAATCGGTTCATATTTATGATGGTTGCAAAGTCCCACGATCCCCTTTTTGCGACTTTGTGACAAGCCAAGTCAATGGGGAAGCCAGATTTGCTTAACGATGAACTCTAACACCTGCAGTGATTGAGTTCACAACTGTGGCAGGAAAAGTCGTAAAATAGGGCAAAACTCACTTAACAAATGATTTGGTCGTAACTTGAGGACTACCTATACTGCTAACAAAACCGATTGGTCGCTTTCTGGCATTTTGCCTGACCCTTTCTGACACATTCTGTGTCCCTCAGTTGAGTCTGAGAGGCTGATTCTGATCGTCTGCAGAGTCGTACACTTCCAGTGGCTTTTACGAATGTTATTTTCCCATGTATTATTCATACAGCCAACTCAGTCCTCAGATCATGGTCGTCAGCCAACAACCCGTTAATTTACCACCAATAAATTCAGAAGGAATACCACTAGAAAAAGTGGAAAGGATCACGCATCTTGGTTCTAATTTACATGAAAGCTGGGACATGACCGCTAAAGTAAAGACAAGGATAGAGGAAGCTCGAACAGCATTCTTCAAAATGAAAAAAGTCTTCTGCAGTCATGACATAAGCCTAAGACTAAAAATCGGGCTTGTCAGATGCTATATTTTTCCTATTCTGCTCCATGGAGTAGAGAGTGGGTCTCTGACAGAAGACCACCTGAAGAGACTAGAAGCATTTGAAATGTGGATTGACAGGCGGTTGTTACGTATAAGCTGGGTTGACAAGATCAGAAATGAGGAGGCGATAAGCCGCCTAGGAAAGCCAAGGGAAATCATCAAAACAATTAAAAAACGAAAGTTAGAATATTTCGGACATGTGACGCGACACTCAGAAAAATACGGCATACTCCATTTAATCCTCCAGGGAAAGAACGAAGGAAACGAGGTCCAGGCAGAAGAAAAAGATTGTGGCTTCAAAATCTAAGGGATTGGTTTGGACAAAACTCAGTAGCACTTTTTCGTGTGGCTGCTGATAAAAACAGGATCGCCAACATGATCGCCAACGTCTGATAATGGATATGGCACGAGAAGAAGAAGAAGAAGAAGAAGAAGAAGAAGAAGAAGAAGAAGAAGAAGAAGAAGAAGAGGAGGAGGAGGAGGAGGAGGAGGAGGAGGAGGAGGAGGAGGAGGAGGAGGAGGAGGATGAAGAAGAAGAAGAAGAAGAAGAAGAAGAAGAAGAAGAAGAAGAAGAAGAAGAAGAAGAAGAAGAAGAAGAAGAGGAGGAGGAGGAGGAGGAGGAGGAGGAGGAGGAGGAGGAGGAGGAGAGGAAGAAGAAGAAGAAGAAGAAGAAGAAGAAGAAGAAGAAGAAGAAGAAGAAGAAGAAGAAGAAGAAGAAGAAGAAGAAGAAGAAGAAGAAGACTCCCCTCCCCAGAAGTGACCAGCGGTAGACCCAATAAAACAATTTAGAATCTCATTGTTTCCATAAATCCTTTAATCTTTTCCTTATGTGTTAGCATTACCAAGGATTACACCGTGCGTATCGTTGCTTCTTTTTAATTCCCTGGCTTTTTTTGTTCTTTGTTTTTGGTTTTTGGTTTAACTGTGGTAACAGACAATTTGTGATAAATCTCCGATAGTCTTTCCGTGCCTTTTCTACCAGTGCAGTTATTCAGCAGGATTTTAAACACGCAAATCCCAGGAAGATAACGCTAGCAATATTTGTTCTCACCAGCAGGCATCGGGAGATTAGCAATTGTATCAGAGTCATGTATTATACTTGCAACTGTAAAATAATCACGTAGTAAACCGACGAAGGATTTCTTGGTGGTGGGCTCAAAGCTTTTCTGCAAAGACGTGCCAAAAGAGAGTGGGATGCATTTCACAGGCCGGCATTATTGTAATATAATGCACGAAAGATCAAATACATCTGGATAATAGAATCATGCTTAGTAATTGCTTTCGAAAAGAAAGCTCCAGCGCAAATTTTTCGACCAGAAGAAAAGAAGCTTTTGTGGTGGGTTTTTTTTGTACTGTTATAAAAACCGAACAGCGATTGTGTTTGGATGAATTGTTCTGTTCCTGCAGGGCCAAATCAAATATCTATAAGGACCCCACAGCTAGAGTTATGAAAGTACTAATGTAGTCGTGATAGGGAATTATTAGTTGCCTCATCTTGTGAGTTTTAATATATATTAAAAAAATCCATTAAAAGCTACCAAGCTGGGACTTTCACTTGCAGGAGCCCCTGTTATAATTTCATAGGACTATAGCAGTGGTGGTGAACCTTTTAGAGACCGAGTGTCCAAAATCTGGCCCTGTCCCCGCTCAACCCTCTGCCCCGCCCCCACCCCACCTGCCCGCAGGGCCACTCACTACCTCCAGGGCCCACCGCAGATTGCCCAGGCAGCCCAGCAGCACCATTGTGGCCATGCCCTCTGCCCGCGCCCTGCAGCATCAACTGTGTGCGATGGGGTGTGAGGGCAGAGTCTTGTCTACGCTGCCTGGCTGCCATGTCCTTGGCTGCGCTGCTCTGCATGGGCCACGCTTGGGGGCAACTCTCCTCCAGGGGGGGCTGCTGGTGAGGAGAGGGTCACGGGAGGAGGCAAGGCTGGGGCAACGGCACATGTGCCCACAGAGAGGGCTCTGAGTGCCGCCTCTGGCACGCGTCGCATAGGTTCGCCACCACTAGACTATAGAGTTGGAAGAGATTGTCAACTTAAATCTGAATTAAAACTTCACCTACAAATGGCCCTCGACCCTTGGCTTTGAATAGATCCACTGAAAGGGAATCTCCCAATAAAGGAAGGGGAGGGGTGAGAAGGGGAGGGGAGAAAAGGGGAGAGGAGGGTAATGTAGTGTAGTGTAAGGGATAGTAGGGGAGGGAAAGGAAAGGAAAGGAAAGGGAAAGAGGAAAGGGAAGGGAAGGAAAAGGAAGGGAAAGGGAAGGGAAGGGGGATGGAAAAAGAAAGGAAAGAGGACAGGGAAAGAGAAAGGAAAGGAAAGGACTTTGAACGGTCGCTAAATGAACTGTTGTAAATCGAGGATGATCTGTAATTCTCCCCAATTCAAGGAAGAACCTTGTGAAAAAAAGAGATCCCGATACATATGTTGTTTTTGGTAGTGTTGAAGGAAAAGTCTTCATCAGGGTTCAGTCCAAGCCGGGAATAAACAACATGGCAACTGCTTTAGAAAGAAGGTTGCAGTTTATTGAAGAGGAGAGCCAGACAGAAAAATGGCTTTGGAAGAAAAGAGAGAAGAGCACATGTAGGGAGTGGGTTTTTATACCCTCTGGAGCCTTTTGTTTGGAATTGTTCCTGTGGCATGAACTTTGACCTGACTGAGTGTGCCTTTCTGGTATTCTGATGGTGGTGGGTTAATCCTATTATGTCCCAAAGGTTATATCCTGCTTCCCTGGGGCTGTGGCTGATGACTGTTGGATTTTTTTGGTGTGAGGGATTGTTGATTCTAGGGATCTTTCTTCCTAATCCCATCTTCCTGATTCCAGTCTTTCTGACAAGATTAACACATCTGCATTTTTGCAGACCTGGTTTCTGCTTGGGACAGAGAGACTTGTAGCGGTGGTGGTGGTTTCTGCT